TTTGATTACAAATAAATCAGCTGACAAAGCGCCAGTGCATGTGGGTACGTTGAAGGACGCACTTTCTATTTGTTATTTTTGATATGTATATATGTAAATAAACAAATAATTTCAACTGGAGTTGGCCCAAATTTAAATTTTGCGAAGTTTCATCAACTCCACTCCGTTCCGTTCAGCTGGGTCGGCTGGCTCCGCTCGCCGGCTCTTGTCAATGCAGTCAACTAAATAATTTGAGTGCCATTCATGTGTTTTGGGTCCATTGGGCTCAGGTTTCGTGATTGCTAGTCTTCCTTTCTTTTTAACTACACGCCGTACTGCATTTCTGTCCGAGTGCGGATGACGAGTTGAGTATTTAGTGTTTTTATGTGTTTTGTTGTTGTTCTTGGTCCGCTGTTTAGGGTAAATCTGAAATTTAGCGGCGCGCTCGTTGTATTGTGTTTGGCAGGTGACGTGAAATCGTAAAGTTTCCTATTGTTTTCGTAATGCATCAGCACACACACACATACATGCATTGCATATGTACATGAACATACACATAAATATTTTGGTTTAACTGACTTTCCTGCTGGTTTGGCTTACTCACCCCATAACGAATCGTTGCTGCTGGTAGCCTCTTCTAGTTGCTTACATGCTGGTGTGTTTGTGTGTTTGTGAGCATTCGTAAGGACTTGACAGTCAGAGTGCCGAAGAGCTCGCAGTATTTACGAGTCTGAAGTCTGCAATATTTCAACTGATTCGTTGTTCCAGCAGCCCGTTATTATTATAGATTTGAATTTGACGTTTCTTGCGTTGCCGAAATCACATTTGGGGTTGTTGTTGTTTCTGTTAGTGTTGTTGTTATCGTTGATTTTATAGTTATTGTTGCGACCAGCCGAATTGCAGTGAAATAACAGTTAGTTGGTTTAATGACTTACATTGTTCATACATACATATGTATATCATAATTCTATATTCGAAGAACTGCTTTTGAAAATATGAACTTTAACTTGATACGAAAGAACCAAAAATTTTATGCACAGTACAGTTATTAGGACAAATTATAAATTTTCGAGAATTATATAAATCGAATTATCGTCCGATCCTGTTCATAATGAAACAGAAATATTCTTTTGACGAACGGATAGTTCGGACCGAATTCTATTGAGTTTCTCTAATGAGAATTGTGGTACTTGAAACGAGCTCTACAAAATATTATCTACAATCTTTTTAAAATAAAGCTTTCAGTATTAAAAGCAAACAAAATTATTGGCAATAACGAATAGCGGTAAACTTATGAGAGGGAGCAAAGCTGACAGGTAAATTAATGTAAGTCTGTGCGGCTCTCAAGTGACAATTCGGAAAGTGATCATATGTGCGTATGCAATTGCCATTTTTTGATATAATCGCTGAAGGGATTTTGAATTTTCCAACAATTGAAAATACGTACTTTTTTTAGGCCACTAAACAGTGAATGGATTTTTATTTCATGCCGGAAATACTCGCGAAAGTGCTGACACTCCATTCCGAGATACGATTGCATATAGAAAATGTATATATATACATATGTATATAAGAAAGTTCATTTGTGTGTTTGATTCCAGTGATCTCCGAAACTACTGGGCAGATTACACAGAAAGTTTGTCAATTCGTTTTTATGGCTCGTAGAAAGATTTGTACCAAAAAGTTTCGGAAAGGGAACCAACGACTGACATATTCGAAATATTGTATTTATCGTTCGATTTCGACCCAGGAACTGGACCAGAAAGCCATCTTTCTGAACATAGGTGGCTTTCTGCTTAGATTGACAGAAATAATACATTTCTCTCCGGGATCTTGACCAAAGACCGAACTATTCGAAAAAATCATTTTAATCCAATAATTATCCTTACCTGAAATTTAAGAAAATATCTGTGCATATTCATTTTCGGTAGAGTTTATTTTTTGGTTGATATAACAAATTGGGATACTTTTGTTACCTGGAAGTGATCCAAAAACCTGGAACCAAGTTCGAATTGCTCAAAATATCAATACTACTTTCCTTACGGGAAAGAGATCAGTAGAAAATTGAAAAAAACTAATATTATTTAGATAAAAGCATAGATCGTGCGTAGGTATGTTCGCTACGCATTGTTATCATTCTGCGGCTCCGAGTTCCAAGCTAATCTTGTACTCTCAACTTGAGTGTGAATAAGCATTAATCAGAATGGTGCGCCTGGCTTACCTCCACATTCATAATGACACTTTCGCGAATAATTGTAATATATATAATTGGCGCTTTGTAACCCCTGAAGCGATTTTCGGCCGAGCTCCTCCTACAACAAATGGAAGGACCTACAGTTTATTTATGCCAGAAACCGGTTAAAATTTCCGACCGAGCGGCGATGGCAATTAGAAAATTTAACTTATTTTTTTATTTGAATAAATTTTCTAAAACTTTTGGATGTTGATCGTATCAGGATTTGAACCGTCGTCTTCCGAACGACAGTGCGCAATGCTTACCATTCGGCCATTGCGGCCACAGCGTTTGAAATAGATAGTGTTGAATCAAGGTTTTTTATCATTCTTTGCAATACCAATTGGAATAAAAGTCGTGCTATTATATAATTTTAGATATTACTCTGGAAAGGTTTCGAGTCAATTGCTCTGCGCAGTATAGCATGAACAGCTACCCTCAGTCAATAACAGAGATAATGAAAATAACTATGGGCCAATGATGGCAGAACAGAGACGACTTCAGATCCAAAAAGAATGACTGGCGATGGCAGCTCAGTTTTCTAAATGGTATTTTCTGGGACGCTCTCTTTTCTGTAAGATAGCTATTAATATTCCTTACGCGGGTTAGGGGTTCAAGAATTTACTTGCGGTAAGGCATGCATGTCGTAAGAGGCGACTAAAATCCAATAGTTCCCGCGGCAATCGGGTCTTTATACCGGAACGACCCGGATTTTTATCCGGCCAAGGACTGTCACTCCCGCAAAATTCCTCAAAAAGTACTTTGGTGAATATTTTTGTGGTTACAAGAACAACAACAATATTCCTTACGCGATGGGTTATAAGCAGAACAAAATAGTTAGGACCATCGGTGGTTTTTCCGTCAACGATTTGTTGGCATGAAATGCGCCCGTCTGTGGGTAACGCTAGGTTCGTAAAATAAAATTACTTAGAGCACTCGTATATGATCTTAATTGGTTATGCCGTCTAACAATTTTTTTCTATCTAAATTGTTTGAGCTCCATCTGTTCTGACGTAAAATGAGCTACTTTAGTAGTTAGGGCTGAGTTGAGTGACAGGTTCCCAAAGGGGCTTTGCGAAGTACTGAATAGCCATAGTTGCAAGATGTGAGCTTCCTGATGAGATTACCTTATATGGGCTAATTACTATTTTTGTTTAAGAAATATTTATAATATCTATAGCAGTTGAAACTCAAAATTTACGTCTCCGTAGAAGTGTGTGTGATATCTTCCGAATCCTAGTCGGAGCAATGAAAGTTGTAGAAAATTATTTGTAAAAAATATTGTGCTCCTCTGCAGGGAAGTGCATTGCTGACATGAAAGCTCATCAGCAGTTTTGAGGATTTATTCATTTGTTGGAAACCATTCTACTAGAAGCGAGCTTGGCCAAAAATCACTTCACCAATAATAAAGCGTCAATTTCATTTGGCTTGCAATTATTTGAGTGTAGAAATTTTTTCACATTCGTATTAAAAAAAAAAAAACTTGGGCCGTTAGTTGGAAAAAAAGTAATCACAAATTGTTTGTAAATTAATTTAGTAATTATTCTGTGATTATTTGATTTATCTCTCACAATTAAAAAAAAAAAATAATTTTTATGGATAATTTTTACGAAATGTGTCTTTTTTGCACTTTATTTTCATAATGTCATTAGTTAAATTACAATTTGTAAACATACATTTAATTACAACCTGTAATAACTGCTCACGGCCCGGTATTCGTCCCGGCTCGATCTTCTTTTCCAAACTTTAAATAGCCTCCCTCATATTTGTTACAATGGTACAAAGCATTTATAATTAAAAAGATTTATTATTATTTTATTTATTTCAAGGAAATGACTAGCTCCTGTTAAATGTATGTGAATATTAAATATCTAACTTACAAATATATATTCTCATATTTAAAAATATATTTTCTCTTTGGTAAAAAATCTCACAAAATTTATAAAGCTTACAAATAGCTTGACAATACAATAAGGTACCTGTTAATTTGTGTTAGCCTAATGTCTCGTTCCGTTATGGTATTGTTGCATTGTCAAAATTATGACAAGAAATGTCACGTCAGTATCAATTGCGATTAGTGATATTTGGTTTTGCCCGCTTTTGTCGTTAGAAGCGAATTCAAATTTTCACAACCAACAAAAATGACAAATTGCATAATGTCATAATTTTGACAAAAAGAATACTGCGTCCATATGAGTCGGTAGGTTTTTCAACTTTACACTTTTTAAGCTGTTAACTTTTGACAATGCTTTGAAATTGCTTGTTTTAGAAGTGATCTAGCGTTGATAAGACTTCTAAGATCACTTCAGAGAAGAGCAATTTGACAAATATTTTACTTTATGTTTTATAACAAAAAAAATTTTAATACAGTTCCAAAGTAAACAAATTGGAACTGTAACAGATTTTTTTTTTTAGTTTTGAGATCATAAAATTTTATTAATATTCTTTTTTATTAAATTGGATGAATTGTTATGACGATTTTCAAACGCGTTGACTGACGACTTTCGTTATAACACGACATCAAATTTGATCAGTGAACTCTTTAACTTAACCATCAAAATCTAAAAATACCAGACAGTCGCTTTAAATAATTTTTAAAACACCGTGAAGTATTTTTGTATATTCTAGAGACTGCTTGATTAATTAAATTGAATTTTTTTCAGTGTAATATAAAGCTTTGAGTTTAATGCATGATTTAAGAAGCACTGGAGATCATCAAAATCAAGCATCAGACCCAAAAACGTACTATTTTTCACTCTGCACCTCACAGTTTCTCTAATCCCTGTTACTTGAAAACTAAATAAATAAAGATCTAAAAGCACCAACTGCCCCATCTTGCTCCCCGTATGATCTCTCATAATATGGTACACTACAATAACTACTAACACCCGCTGCTATACGTTAGAAAACTGTTCGAAGTCGCCGTGGCCGGCATTGACCAGCTGTTCATTGTAGTCCTTCCAGGGCGGCGTTTGAGTATAGAAACTGCTGGTCTGATGCAGCATGGATGACTGCGTGCCGTAGTTGCTCAAATTGCTCGATAAGGGTTGCGGCTGTGGCGATGAGCGAACCGTCGTCGTCGCTGACAGCTGAGTGTAGGAGGCCTGCGCCGAGTATCCAGCTGATATGTTATCCCGTCTATGACGCAACTCTGGTGTGCACATCCCGCCATCCATATAATTGCCCACTGACGTAGGTGGTATATTCGCTGCGGCTTCGAAGGTGCTCTTGTACAGCTCGTATTTTTCCTGTGAAAAGTGTGGATGCGTCGTCAGGGGATCACCTAAAGGTTTGTGCGTTTCGTGCTGTACATTGTAGGGACGCATGTCACTGCTATAGGCATAGCCTTGTGGTGGACGTCCCCGCTGCAACAGATGTTGTTGTTCCAAGAAAGGATGTGCGGCTTGTATGTTCGCTTGATTTGTGTGCGGCACACGTCCGCTAAGTCCAATACCCATGCTGAAGATGCTCGTGTACGGTTGTGGGTTAACAAATATCGCATCGAATAACTCTTTTGTGATACGTTCGCCGCTTAATGTGAAATTCTGCAACTTTTCGAGATCCAGATTGATTGTGCCCCCACTCTCCAACACCTGCTCCAGCGCAAATATATAATTATGCGCAAAACGTAAAATTTCGATCTTCGTCAGCTTCGTCTCTTCCGGAAGTGATGGTAACGTGACGCGTAGACGCTCCAGCGCATCATTCAACATATGCATACGATTGCGTTCACGATCGTTAGCCTTCATGCGTCGAAACTTCTTGATGCGCACTACTTGGCTGGGGCTGCGCGAACGTGTAACACGATTTTTTCCGACGGCATATTTGCGCTTAGGACGCGGTTCAGTCGGTTGATCTCTATTGCCTTCGGCGCCTTGTTTCATAGGCGTTGATGTTATTTTGGGAGAGAACTCGTTGTCCGGTAGCTGTGCTTTGCTGATTACATGTTCGACAAGTGTACGTCCACTGCGTGTGCTGTGGTTGCTACTGGCATCAAGGAGTGCTGGAAATGAGGCACGTTCTACAAGCGGCGCCACACCTATGCTATTGTAGCAGCCCGACTTCATGGGGGACTCGGCGACGGCGCAGAAATCAGTGCTAGCATCAAAGAAGAGTTTACGCGGTGTCACATTGCAATCGGTTTCGAAGCTTTTCTCGTAGCCGCTATCGTAGGATGAGTCTTCAAACTCAAACGAGCGGTCATCGAAACCGCTATAACACGAGGACATGTTGTTGCTTTTATTTTTCTTTTCAAGTCCACGTCACAGTCTTTACCACAACATTTGTCACTCCGTTGGGCTTGAGTTTGATGCGCACGTAATAGAAAGTTCACTTGCCAACCCAATAACGGTACATTTTCGTTACGATATAATGCATTTTTCACACGCGTATTTCGACTTTTCACTTTTACTTTCTTGTGATCTCTCGCTTGCTCGATTGCTCGATTACTCGTTTTCCGTTCTCAATTGTTGTCCGTTGCGCGTTTCTTTACCAACTAAACAGCCTTCAAGGGCGCTCATTAGTTTTATACTCATATGTTGTCGTTAGCTCATAAGCCATCCCAGCAGTGCAACCCTCTACGTATTGATGTCGGTCGTGGCGGCGCCATTTCAAATCCTGCTGATTACCGCAAAGGGGGTTGGTCTAGTTTGCAACAACAACCACACTGGTTTAGAGAGCTTTCGGACTCGCGCTGTGTACGTGTGTGTGCGCGTTTTTGGACAGCTCTGTGGAATGGCGTTGGTAATGTCGCGCCACCCTTACTACCCACCCAACGTTTAGATAGCGGCGCGATGCGTGGTGAGTGGTGAGCGCAGTCACCAATCGGAAGGATGACTCTGCGGAGCGGCACTAATGCTTGTTGAGCGATCAAAGAGATTTCACTGCAATCAGTTGTTGGTATGTAAATTCAAATGCAAGACTCTCTAAGTGCGTGTGTGTGTGTGCTGTTGACTGGTGGTCTGCAATGGAAATATGGAGTTATGTAAATCTCGTAGGGTTGCCAAGGAGAAGTCAAGAACCTAACACATGTCTAGTATGCATTATGCGGATCACTTAATTGCACCGAATTTAAAGAAATCGAAGACCAAAATGTTTGTAATACCAAGGCGTAGATAAAGCGAAGCACAGCCGGAAATGGACGCGGCTTATGTAATATTCTCTTAAAAAACACCCGCGACCATGAAGGAGTCGTGGTTTTGCATAAATAGGTGAGTTACCATTCCCTATTTTATTTTTCAGTGGAGGTTGTGATTTAATACCCCTTTAGGAAATATATATACGAGCGAACCGCACCGATAATATGGAGTTCATCATGTAGTTGAGTCTCTATCAATGAAGACCACATGTTTTTCACCGCTTTAGAATCTGTATTAACTTCTTTAAAATTTTTTTAGGAATATAGGCTCGAACTGATGAGAACTAAGAAATGGAGCAAGAACGAGCATACGAGGTGGGACAATCAATTCCAAATGATTCCATAAAAACCGTATATTTCAAAATTATTCTACAACTTTGCCATCCCCTTCAAAGTAGGTCCCTTGAGCAGCTATACAACGATTCCAGCGAGTTTTCCATGCTTCGTAACCTTTCTGGAACGCTTCGACTGGGATCTTCGCGAGTACTCTCGTCACGGCCGCCTGGATGTTCTCAATCGACTCAAAATGGGTTTCTTTGACTACCGATTTTGTTTTAGGGAACAAAGTAGACATCTGTGTTGGGTGAATATGGCGGTTGTTGCAACACACAGCGATCCCTTTGGAGGCCAAATACTGATACACGCTCAGGGCGATGTGGCACGGCATATTGTCGTGATGAAGGATCCAGTTACGAGGGATGTCTGGGCGCACCCTATGGACTCGTTTTCGCAATCTTTTGAGTTTTTGGCGATGGGCTTGATTTACGATTTGTCCCGGTGGAAGTAATTTTTTGTGAACGATTTCACAGCTATCACAAAAGGCAATAATCATCGTTTTCACCTTCGACTTGCTTCCACGCTTTCATGCCCCTCCTTAAATTCTTTATGCCTTCGACGCACCAGGGCACGACTAAGAGCCCTATCACCATGCACTTTTACAGTTTAAATTACGTTTCCGAAGCTGTTTCGCCTAATTTGGCGCAAAATTTTATCGCGACGCGTTGCTCTTAATTTCGTTTTTCCATTTTCGTGACGAGTACCGCGAATACACGTTATTAAACACGACACAGCAGGCGAACTAAATAAGCTAGCGCGATGGAAGGGAGAAGGATGCCGGGAGAAGGGAAAGGTAATTTCAAGGTCGAAGAATCAACACATGCGCGGCAATGTAGTCAGCCTCATTTCTGAATTGTCACTCTTCGTATATAAATATCGAAACTCTGATAATGCGATTGATTTTGATTTGTTTCACTAGAGCCTTATGTGCTCGCGATTTTCGTCCCTCAGTTCACGAGCTCGGAAGTCGAGTAATAAGCGTTGAATTGGAGACCCTGATAATTCTTTTAAATCTATGCGTCCACTTATCTTATTCATTTTTACAAGGAGATAATTAAGGCGGAGACTTAGTAAAAAAACGAGTTCAACAACCTGAGGACATTACGCGTTCGTTAGTCCTTTATTCGGAGATCATTTTAACATAATTTCGACAAGGTAAAATAGTTTTGCGGTGAATATTCTTTGTTCTTTATGAAGTCAACCCCTATCTTTCTACATCTGAGAATTGTACAATGAAATGAATCTGGAATGGAATGATTCCTAGGCTCGGGTAAGCGCAAATATGACACTGAGATCCACATTGAATTTATATTCTGATGAAGATTTATTTGACTGACACAAAGTCGATGTGGAGCGTAGTTTCATCACATCTTTTATTGAGTTGATAGCTCTTTTCTTGAAAAAGGTTTCAAAGAGACGCAAACGCGGCTACATGGCAACCCTCAATTATTTTAATATGTTTAAGGTTTTCTTTGGTAATTGTTTTTGTTTTAATACCTTTTTTACGTTAGTTGAAATTGCGACACGTACACATATGCACTTTCAACGTGTCGCCTGAAGGCTTATCAGCGCCAATGTCCGGACGCATGCTTAAGGGTTGTTGATACAGTTGATTTACTTTCGCTTTTTCGCGAGTCCAAACAAACTCTCGCACCGGCCGCCGGGTGAGTGGGTAGCAATTTCATTGCGCCAAGTATTATATTTACTCACCCCCAGGGGAAAATATACAAATTTATTTATTTCAAACACAAAGAATGCTCGGAAAGCCCAACGACACGTAATGAACAACGGTAAACCGAATTGAAGTCGGAAGTAAAAGAACACAACAGCAAAAAATAACTTTGGCGATTATCCCCTGCCCAGACGTTTCACATACAGACATATTAATGCTAAGTGCGACGTGGGGGTACGCATCTTTACAATGTTCACTGAGTAGAAAAAAATACGAGGACTCGATTTAACCAATTGTGGAAAGCTGCACTTCTTGTGCAAATGCTGTGGAAATTTGCAAAACCTGTTGTTCCAAGGCAGTGGCTATTTTGGCTGTGACCCTATTGGACGTTATTTCTTTTCTTTTACTTCTGCTTCTTTCTTTTTCTTTTCTGCAATTCAAGCCACAAATTATTATGCCACAGAGAATCTTGATTGTTTATTGTTTTGAAAATTTGTTTGTAATTATTTTGGATGTCTCCTTTATGTGGCTGAACTTGTGTGGGTGGTTGTGGAGATTAAAGGAATTGACACAAGGGGAGGCGTTTCGCAAAATAAATGATTACACTGATGGTACTTAATGCGAAAATAACAAGAAAAAAGCGTTTAAGTTCATTGTATCCCTTACAGAATGGACTAAAACTCAAAAAAATATAAATCGAAACGATATTTGAGGCATTTTAGCTATTTCTTCAAACTATGGTACCCATCTTGGGAATAATTATGGATTACATGGGCAGCTGTGATTGTCTCTGCATTGGTTTAATGCAACACGTTGTATCATAGTAATGGGGTACATGAGTGTCATTTTCGTCGCTCCCTCTCTCAAGAGAGAACAAAGTACCCTTATATCAGTAAAGGCGTTGTCTACAGCTTTCAAAAGTTGCCAAAACATGGTTTAACTATGAGCAGCTGCCACCAGATGTTCGTCCCTTTCTTACTCTAAGTAGGTGAGGAGCCCTCTTGAAGTATTCGCATCTTTTCTTCTCGAACTTCTGTTTGCAAAGATACTAGGTTAAAGAATGGATGGTCTTCACTATTTTAGGGTAGCTGATAGCAAACTAAATACATTTTTCAAAAAAAGAGTAAGAGTGTTAATGTTGTGCTGTTCCAGGGCTCTATATGTCAGTGACAGTGTTGCTCATAGTACGAAGCTGTACTGTCTAGGAATAAGCGATCATTTCTATCTATCCGCATGTAATATCCTTCTCATTTCTGATATGAGGATATGCTAGTACTGCTCCTGATTGAATGCGTTAGGTTTCGTTATGACTATTTTGACATTGTTTATGTTATAACCGGGTCACGGTAATCATAACACCGTATGACATTAGGTCCTAAAATATTTGATAGCTCACTTGGGTGGTGACTCACAAGGTATATACTAACCAAAGTTGTAGATGGATTGCCACGAATTGTGTTGGCATCTCATAAGTAATCAAAGACCCTTTTAATTCCGAGTCACTCACCAGAAGCCAATCGCTGTTCTTCCAACTCATCTCTAGTGCAATTTCTCCTAAAACTTCTGTAAGCTTCAAATACTAAGACTACTGAATTAAACCTCCTTATGATTTTCACAGAAGGAGGTTCGCTTGGGTAAGTCGTTACGTATTGCGAATTGAGTACTCATAACGGCGCTTTAACTCACAATCCCCGTCTCCTTAATATCATTACAATTAATTGCTTTTTAAGCAACTTCAGCTCGTTAAATAGCGAATAGTTCACGCCCTCGCTAATACAGACTCTAATGCAATAATTCAATAAATTAACCCTTTACAACCACAAGCATACAAGCATACACACGCTGACATACTCGAGCGGGTGGGGAAAAGCTTTTTCCACACTCCAGCCATTCATTTATTGTTCACACTCAAGTGCTCGTCTGTCGCAATTTCCGTAGGCGGACCGGTCTTGGACTGGCAGGCCACAGCTAACCATTTGCCGTATCATAACATGGCCACGTGCGCGACGGCCAGCGCCACATATCGAGCCTTATTTAAATATCATAATAACATAATTACATGACAAAAGACACGCAACAGTCCGCGCGCAAGTGCTCATGATGACACCGTGAACAAAAAACCATTCACCGGTAAGAGATAACAACACACCAATTCAATAAAGGGCAGCGGAGGGGGTGGTAAAGTAAAAGTTGAAAACAAAAACCCGCGAACGTTACTAGCGAACTTTGGTTGGCGCCTGTCGCCACTTACCACACCCGCACGTGCCGCGCACAGGATTACAAAAACAAACCAACCAGCGACCGAGTGAAATCTGCAGAGTTTTGTAATAC